CATAGTGCTTCAGCAAGCTCTGGGCCTGCTCCATCCTGGGGCACAGAGCATGGCAGCTCTGGCCCCAGCTCCAGGAGCTACTAACCTCTCCCACTGCCTATTTTTTTCACCACCTGCCACTGCCTTCCCACTGCAGCAGGAAGGGCAGGGCAGGGATGATGACAATGACAAATTTAAAATGTATACAATTTTCCATGTACAGAATCTAATTATTGGAGGGCCGTCTTAAATTCAGAGTCATCTTGGATTCAGGTAAATACAGTAATAATGACAGTTAGGAAAGATGCACCTGCAGGAGGATAAACTGAGTAAGACTTGGCTAAATTTCATTGAGGGTATTTGCTGTTCAGTGAGGGACCCTAACGAAACACTGTCCACCTTAGCAGTAATACGACAATAGATCCTGCCTGATGACAAAGCTATGGGCTTACCATTGGTAGGTGTCTGAGAGTCCCAACCTGTGGAAGAAAAAACATCATTGTAAGTAAAAGGGTCCATGCCTGCAGTGTGATCTAACAGCTGTTTAGTGCACAGGAATACACATGCTAGAAGAGGCAGCATTTAATACAAAAAGGGGAAGAAAGGAAACAAGCATGAACAAGAGCAAGAGTTTCTGAAATGCAAATTAATGCTTTGTGGGCAGTACTGAACACATGCTTCAATGTTTTACTGCAGCATGTCCCAATCACAGAAACACTTGGGCTTATACAGAAAGAGCCCCCATGTGCATCTGAGGGCAACAGAGAATTAACAAAATATTTGTGGGTTTTCTTCACATTTTCCGTGGAAGGAACCATAGGCTAGTGAGTCCATGCAGCTGCTGGTAAAATGGCCCTTGTGGTTTCATTAGTTTCTAGGTGTGGCTTTGTGCCAATTGTTATTTATTAATTGCGGCACTCAGTTTTCAAGGGAAAACAGGGTTTCTTCCAACTGCCAGCTGTGCAAACTCCCCCCAGGATCTGAGAGGGAAGCTGGGTTCAGAAAAGAGCTTTGCAGGCCAGATTACACCTCCATGACGCCTCCATAATCCCAGTGCATTCAAGGGTTTGCCCAGGCTCAGTTGACCAGAACGCTGTAAACAGGTCTATGAAGGATGCACCAGTGACCAGCAAAACTGGAATTAACTCCCTCCCAGTTACACCAGCTCTGCAGAAAGCACAGTTTAAAGCAGGGAAAAAATACTCTTTGTTCAGACAGTCTGACCATGAATGCTCACAAGGAAAAAAGCCACTGAGTAAGAAGATGTACTTCAAGCTCACTGGAGATATTCCATTTATTATTTTAAACATGTTCACTGCATCATGGACTCTTCTGCTTTGTAAAGTATATAGTCCTGATCTTTGTCTCAGCCTGAATGGAAATCTCCATTCTCCCCCTGCCCATACCCTTCAAGATTTTCATTGCTGGTCTTGGTTTACTATGGTGAAGTGGGTGGACTTCATTGTGCTTCTTTAAGTAGATGTGTTGTTTGCTGAAAACGTGACCCACTTAAATGGCGAATGCACTTGCAACATGTCATTCTTGTTAAGATGGGATCTCATCCATCCTCCAACAACACCGCCCACATGTGCCCAGCAGAAAGGGACAGGATAAATTATGGAAGGCTCATCTGAAAATGGAGACAAGATCTGGCCTAAACTATGTAAAGAGGATTTCTACCCCTGCAGAGTTGATGAACTGCAGGTTGATGGCCAGCATTGATACTCTGCCATTGTATCACTTTAGGCTTAATTGAAAACACCTTAGACTCATGCAGATTGCTAGAAGCCAACAGAACAAGGGTGCTCTCAAACAGCCCAGACACGGGACAAGCCAGTGGGGATTTCACTCTCAGTGAACCTGCCATCCCTTAGTATAGTACCATCCTTTGGCAAATGGCAGCACTGAGCTAACATCTGGATTAGCAAAGTCCACAGCTGTAACTCATTGTGGTGCAGCTTCTCAGGGCTCGATAACATCGTGAAAAAACACCCAGGTCCTGGCTGCACTATGACTTCCACCTTTGCTACTACCAGCGGTGAAATCCAGCTGGTTAGTGGAGAGGGTCTCAAAGAGAAATCCAACCGAGGAGACCCAAGCACAGATGGCTTTTCTAGAGCCCTGAAGCATATTTACATCCAAAGCAAGTCACCATTTGGGATACAGCAACTGTTTGCTTAATGGATAAATAAAGATTTGAAAGCCAATAAACACAGCCTTATAAAGCAGCATCTATTGTTTGGGCATCTGCCCTTCTCCCCCACCACACTAATGGTTGCCAACACCCTCCCTCATAGGCTGTTCTGCTACTTCTGTCAGTCTCCATACCTCTGTAAGCGTGACTGTAGGAAATGCAGTCGCTCTTCCCTCAGGCTGCCTCCACATAGCTCCCCTACTCCTGGTACCAGAAGATCAACAGCTGCAACCTTGGGAAGAAGAAAACCATAAGTGGTTGGTCAGGCTGGGGTAGCTATGGAGTCCAAGAAAGGTGTTCTGGGAGGAGAAATTAATTTATATTTATTAAACTAATTAATGCTTTAATGATGGAGCCAAGACAATGATAATATAGCCTGCTGGCACTTGGATACTGCACAAATAGTTGGACTGGCACCAATATAACTGATGACAAGAGTTTAGATGATAAATACCAGAAACTGAATCTCAGAGTGACACTTCCATATGGACTGTTGGAAGCATGGGTTGGACAAAGACCTCTGGACTGAAAACCATCAGCCTCTGCTGCCCGCTCTATAAGAACTGTCTCTGATAGCCAAAGGTTTGAGCAGAAGGAAACCTCTGTACACAGCTATTATAGGGATACAAAGAACCACCGTGAGGGTATGGACATACATTGCCTTTGCACTGGTGTCAGTGTGGAGCAGACATGCAAAATGAAGCCCCACGCCAGTGTAAGTCGCTCCACTCCAGGTAAAATTATCCCCCGGAAGATTAGGAATCACAACCCACTAGTCTAAATTACCCCAGAATACCAGTTGTATGTCCACAGCTCTAGCTGATTTCATCCCAAAAGTATAACCTGCTGCTCAAAACAAGCTACAGGGTTGTATTACAGGTGGCTACCTCCAAAGATGGGCATGTGTTGAATTTTAGCTGATTTTTTAAAATGCAATCTTCGTATTTTCCCAAGCAGGAAGCAACTGCGACCACCTGAAACATGAGACACTGCTCCTGCCTTTGTTTCAAGGTAATTTGCATCATCACAGAGCCTCGCCAGAAGTGAGAGACTCCACACCAGCTATGAACTGACTGCCCAGAGGAGTTTTCCATCTATTGTCTCCTCTGTGAAATCCTATGAAATATGAACTTTCATTTCTACCCAGGAGAACTTTTACAATCTTTTCTCCAATGCCTGATGAAGGGTGTTTGTGCTCAAAAGCTTGCATTTAAAGATTTCTTTTTTTTGCAAAAATCTTGTTGGTCTAATAAAAGATATCATCTCTACTACGAGTCTGGATTGCTTTCACCCTGGATTTCAGCACTTAACATTCATTGGCAAGCACAGTTATACTGATATAAATGTGACACATGCTTACACCCTAAGAAAATACAGGCAATGAAGTCCCCTTCCTCTCTCCTTCGAGGTGGTCTGGACTCTCCAATCCAGGCACTAAGACAGCTACTCAAGCTTCCTCTGTTGAGTCTAGGATACTACATGTGTAAACACATGCGTGCTCCAGAAGAGTCTCTCCAGCCATGACTGTTTACGGGAGTGGTGACTGCTTCACTTAGTTACTTCAAACTTGAATGCATCTGGAGGAGGGGTGGGGTCACTTGATCTGGAAGCCATCTGCCAGCTTGGGTAAGAAATACCAGGTCAAAGCAGAACCGAAAGAGGACACCTTTGTCCTGAATTAGGAGCCTCTGCACCAAAACAACAAACGGTGGGGACTGAAATGGCCCGAGTTATTTTGGTGCAGGTGTCTGAGCTGGCAAATCCTAAGCAAAAAAAAAGACCCAAGAGCAATCTCTGGTGAGTCAGGCAAACACAGGCAGGTAGACAGCTGCATAACTTCATAACACCTGAGGAATTCCTATAGACCAACATCCTCCATGGTCTTTAGGCACCTAACTCCTATGGAAATCAACACAGGTGGTGTGGTTTCTTCCCTCCTTGCTCAGGGTTATGCTTTGTCCAAGGAGTCCCTAGGTCCTGAGCTTTCCAGGCAGTCAGGTCCTCAAAGTTAATTTAAGGTGTCCAACCCCCACTAATATCAGGGATAGCCAGCATGGGTTTGTTGCAGGTAGGTCTTGCTTGACCAATCTCATTTCCTTTTATGACCAGGTGACCTATCACCTGGACAAGGGGGAAGAGATTGATGTTGTATATCTTGACTTCAAAAAAGCCTTCAGTCTAGTACCCCATGATCACCTCTTGGCAAAACTGGCTAACTGCGGCCTTGACCTCATCATGATCTGCTGGCTGGGGAATTGGCTCCGTGGTAGGACCCAGAGGGTGGTGGTTGACAGAAGTCAATTGTGGTGTGCGGTCACCAGTGGGGTCCCTCAGGGCTCTGTCCTAGGGCCTATACTTTTTAACATCTTCATTAATGATGTAGACACTGGTGTCAGAAATGGGCTGGCCAAGTTTGCTGACGATATCAAACTCTGGGGTAAAGCATCCACACCCGAGGACAGGAGGGTGATCCAGGCAGATCTTGACAGGCTCAAGAAATGGGTGGACGAGAGCCTGATGGTGTTCAACACCAAAAAATGCAAGGTTCTCCACCTTGGGAGGAAAAACCTGCAGCATGCTTATAGGCTCGGTAGTGCTACACTGGTTAGCACAACAGATGAAAGGGACTTGGGGGTCATGGTTGACTGCAAGATGAACACGAGCCTTCAATGTGATGCTGTGGCTAGTAAAGCAAGCAAAACGCTGGCTTGCATCCATAGATGCTTCTCAAGGAAATCCCGGGACATCATTCTCCTGTTGTACTTGGCCTTGGTGAGGCCACACCTGGAGTACTGCATCTAGTTTTGGGCTCCACAATTCAAAAAGGATGTGGAGAAGCTTGAGAGGGTGCAGAGGAGAGCCACGCGCATGATCAGAGGTCAGGAAAACAGACCTTATGATGAGAGGTTGAGAGCCATGGGACGCTTCAGCCTAGAAAAGTGCAGGTGGCCACCTATAAATTTATCAGGGGTGTTCATCGGGATCTGGGGGAACGTCTGTTCACCAGAGCGCCCCAAGGGATGACAAGATTGAACGGTCACAAACTCCGCCGCGACTGATTCAGGCTGGACAAAAGGAAGAACTTCACTGTCTGAGCCGCCAAGGTTTGGAACAGACTGCTGCCGGAGGCGGTTCAAGCACCCACTCTGAACACCTTCAAGACACATTTGGATGCTTGCTTATCTTGCTGGGATCCTATGATCCCTGCTGACTTCTTGCCCCTGGGGCAGGGGGCTGGACTTGATGATCCTCTGGGGTCCCTTCCAGCCCAAATGTCTATGAAATCTATGAAATCAATGATCTAAGAAATATGAGTTGGCCACCGAAATACTTTTGAGAACCTGGGCCTGAGTCCCAGGAGTCACAGAGCCTGGGAATCCCATACAGAAAAAAGTGTTTCAAAAGGAGGAGCCTTTTCTGTTTCCATTTGCTGAGAGGAGATGGAGACACAAATTGGTCTTCTGTTTCTGGAAGGGAAGAGAATGGATCTTCTCAGGCCATGGGACTCTATGGGCCTTTGCTGTCATTCACGAAACATTTTAGAAAACAGAATAAATACAAGTTGTTTACATTTAAAATGCATACTATAGGTAATAATGTTAAATGCATATTACATTTAAATATTATGCACATTTAATGTTAAAAATATTATTTAAAAAATACAATTTAACATTTGACTTTTCCTTAGAAACAAGGTCTGTCACAAACCCATCTTAAAAGACCATAAAAGGGAAAATAAAATAAATGGCTGCTTTCCAAAAATACGCTGCATCCATTCTTCTTCTGTTTAATCCTAATATGTTCTGTTTTGGGCACCTTGGAAGGAAGATAATAGCCTGGACTGGATGTCCCCTAGAACAGCTGACAGACATGTCACTACCTGCTCCCTAACTGGTAGCTCTAATGAATCATAGAAAGGGTTGGAAGGGACCTCAGGAGGTCATCTAGTGATTCTAGTCCAACCCTGCTACTCAAAGCAGGACCATCCCCAACTACATCATCCCACTCAAGGCTTTGTCTAACCAGACCTTAAAAATCTCCAAGGATGGAGATTCTACAATTTCTCTGGGTAGCTGCTCCAGCGCTTTACTACCCTCCAAATGAGAAAGCTTTTCCTAGTATCTAACCTAAATTTCCCTTGCTCCTTGTTCTGCCCCCACTGAGAACAACTCCATCCTCCTTGGAACCCCCCTGCAGGTAGCTGAAGGCTGCTATTAAATCCCTTCTGTCTTCTCTTCTCCAGATTAAATAAACCCAGTTCCCTCAGCAACTCCTCACATGTAACGTGCCCCAGCCCCCTAACCATTTTAGTTGCCCTTCGCTGGACTCTCTCCAATTTCTTCACATCCCTTCTGTAGTGGGGGGCCCAAAACTGGACACAAGGACTCCAAATGTGGCCTCACCAGTGCCAAACAGAGGGGAAGAGTCACATCCCACAATTTGCTGGCAATGCAGCCCAGTATGCCATTAGTCTCCTCTGCAACAAGGGCACACTGTTGGCTCAGATTCATCTTATTGTTCACTGCAACTCCCAGGTCCTTTTCAGCAAAAAGGTTGTGCACTCCGAGATTGGCAAAGGGAGGACAAATGACTGTATTAGATGGCGATGTGCATGAACTTACTGTGTGCTGAGGTCCATCATCATTATCTCGCATGTAGAAAGGTTTGAGATCATATGGATAGTCAATCACAAACACAGGAACTTCACCACAGTGCGTCACCAGGTACTTCTCATGCTCGGTTTGGAGATCTTGGCCCCACTGTAAAGACACATAAGAAAGAGAGGTTGGATCCTACCCAGCTGCAGTACGTGGCCCAGAACAGGGAATGTACTGGTAAAGAAAACCAGTTTCACAGACTTCAAAGCCCAAAGGAACCATTAGGATCACCTACTCTGACCTCCTGCATGACACACCCAGAGAATAGTGAAGCAACTAGAATAAACTTTCATGTTGCCTAAGGAAACAGCAAACCAAGCCAATTTTAGCTTTCCCTTAAGGGGTAGAGAAAGTGACTTTATCTAGTTGCTTGCCTTTCTGGATGTGCCGCAGCTCTCCCATATGTACACTACCTCTGGCAGCTTCCGGCTTAGCAAAACACAGTCTTGCCTGCAAAAGACCATGCCTAGTGTCTGCATCCTGCACAGTAGGAAAATGGGAAGTGCTGGGGGTGGGATTATTGGTGTGATAAGTAGTTATGTCTGGATATAGGATTTACAGTTCTGAGTCTACTGATGCAGAGATAAATTATCCTGCTGATCTTGGCAAGTCTGTCTGGAAGGCAGGTCCAACTAGATTTACCTTCAAAGCAGCAGACTGAAGGCCATTAAGGCTAATGACTATGTATGAGACTGGAAACGGGGACTCAGGCAGGGACACCATCTAACAAAGCAGGAATGAAGCAGAAGGCTCAGGAAGATGAACACCGCAGCTTTAGGAACTCTAAAAAGGTGGTGGTCAGAGATCTGGGCCACAGGTTGGACTGTCCAACAGAGCTCTGTCATTTACCCTGTGGTGCTGCCTGTCGGTCTCAAGCCCAATATGCATGAGATCGGCTCCGTGTGCTTCATTCAGGGCTGGTCTGGATTGGGCCCACAGCCCAGGTCCCACTATGTGCAGCATGCACCTTAAACCAACCCTGCTGGCTACACGCAACACACAGGGCCAGGGCTGGCATGCACTAAATGCAGCACACAGGACTGAAGCCAACACACTTGCTGTGCGGCTGGTCTAGGGCACACGTGGTATGTAGCGTCCATACTGGACTGGCCCTGTGCGCCAGCTCCAGTGTGTAGGGTTGGTCTGTGGGTGCAATCTGGCTTGTAGACTGGTCCCACACCCCTTATCTGGGCTGGACGAGCTTGATAAACCTGCCCTGAAGCGTGTAAACTTCTCTCTCTAGGACTACAATAATCTTTTGGAAGAACAAAGCCTCCTGTTATCTACACCTAGGTAAGATTTTATTTAGATTCAGTGTCACCATGTTATTCTTAGTTAAACCCTGAGCACCACCTAAATAATCTCATTTCCCAATTAGATCATGGGTTGGCAACATTTTCCAATGGCAGAAGGAAAGGCCCAGCTCAGATCTGAGACAGGTTAGCACTAGGACCTGGCCACTGCTGCTTCTCCCTGCCACCCAGCTGTGGCAGGGCACAGACAAAAACCCCTGGCCATGATGCTCCGTGGCTCCATGGGCCATAGGTTGCTGACCCCTGGATTGGATAACCACATCACCCAGGCATGCCCAGTCATAGGAAGGGACATTTCTTTCTCCAAGTCAGATGCAACCTTCTCCCCTAAGCCACTAACCCCAGCTGTCCACCCTTCATCCTAATAAAACATTCCCCATAAATTACTCTACACTTCACCTTTCAAGCTACCATGGCAATAGCACCTGGTTGGCAACACCACACAAGGACTGTCCCACCTTGCGTGGAAGACACTCTGCTACAGTATCAGAAAGAGGGAAGGGAGGTTTGTCTGCATGCACAGCTCCCAGGTGCTGGGATGCAGGAGGGGCTCTCTCCCAGGGGACACGACCACCTACCTCTGGTTTGAAAGTGAAAGTCTGAGGTGCTCGCTTTAAAATTTCCACTGCTTCAGTGTAGGAAAGTCTGTAAGAGGAAAACAGGTCTCTAAGGAAGCAAGTGAAAACAACATGACAGTCCCTTGCTAAGGGCTGTAGTGGAAAACTGAAGGGAAACTGTCCACAGACCCACTACTTTATGATCCTGGATTTCTCAAGTAAAACAAACTCAAGCATGGTGAACACCTTGGATGGCAAGGAAACCCCTGAGTGTTATAGGAAGTGATGCTAGCAGTTCAACAGATGGCAGCTTTCCCCTGACTCAGCCAAATTACTAAAGCTCCAGCCTGATACTACTTAGTGCCATAACTTACACAATGCCTTAATGTTTTAAATACCAGGATTGAGGACTCTGGGGTATAGGATGTAGCTGTGTTTGTCTAAGGACACAGACAGGCAAGGTTCTTTGGGTAAATTTGATATCTTTTATTAAACCAACTAAAATAGTTGGAAACATTATTTGCAAGCTTTCGGGTACAAACATGCTTCGTCAGGCTACCAACTACAGACACTTCTTCAGCCTGATGAAGGATGTTTGTACCCGAAAGCTTGCAAAGAAGAATTTTTTAGGGGTGTACCGATACATCAGTCCCATATCAGACTGGCACTGATGTAAGGAAAAACACGCCTTTGGCAATAGCCTTTTTTTGGTTGATGTGGCCAATAATGTCACCGTTAAATGTCCTGTGCATGGGAGCAACCGCAGCACAGCCTGGCAGCATGGAGAGCAGCCAGGTCTGGCTGGTAAGTCTGTTGTGAGGGAAGGGGCACTGGCAGATAGAGGCCCCAGCAGTGAGGGGAGCGGGGCTGGGGCAGGTGCTGCACAGCAGGGCAGGGTGTGAGAAGAGCCACGAGCAGCTCATTCAGGGTCACAAGCAGGGGATGGAGGCTACTGTCGCTGTACGCATCCTGGCAGGGCATGGAGAGGTCTGTGCCCCTGGATCTGCGTCTGGGGTGAAGGCAGGCTGCTGCTGCGGGTGGCAATGGGCTCTTCCTGGCAGGGGGCTGGGCTGTGCTTGGGTCGGGCAGTGCCAGTGCTGGGAGGGGGGCTACAGTGAATTTTGGGATGGCTGCAGCACTCGTCCCCCATAGGCCCTCTCCCAGCGCCACCACCCACCCTAAGTGCAGCCCGGCCCAGCCCCCTGCCAAGAAGAGCTCGGCACTGCCCCAGCCTGCAGAGGCAGCCCACTCTCTGGGTGGCGGGGTTGGTGTGTGTGGTGGAGTGTGTGCATGTAGTAGTGAGCAGGGTTCCCCCCCAGAGGTGCACGGGTGTGTGCATCTGGGGGTGCGTGTGGGGAGGGGAGAGGTGGGGTATGCATGGGAACTCCCCTGTGTCCGCCCCCCTGAGCCAGTCAGCATCCGTCCCCACCCAGCAACAACCCAGGGCCTGCACACCTCCCTGCCACTGCCAGCAGTGTGCAGCCCCAGCACTCCCCGTGCCCGTGCTGGAGGGGATTAGCCAGACTCCAAGCACAGCCCCACCCTGGCCTGCCCCTGCTTCACACCATCTGCCCGTGGTGCATCCTGCTGCACCCAGGGCCTGCAGTGGGGCTGGGGCGGCTCTGCAGCTGGACAGATTCCGGCCACTGCCGTCGCTGCTGGCCCCAGCCCCCAGTAGGGACCCACGTTGCACAGCCTTAACTCTGCAGGCCCCATGCCTGCTCTGGGCTCACCCACCCAGGCTTAGCAGCGGTGGTGCAGAACAGAAGCTGTTGCTTAGCATGGGGTAAAAGAGGCCCTACTCTCTTGCTGCTGCCAGCCATTCCTGCTGCAGCTGCCCAGAGCCTACGCTGGGCTGCCCTGGATCTGCTCCATGCTTTGCCCGCTGGGCAGCCCAGAGGCGGCAATGACAGCAGCGCAGATGCTGGGCAGCCCAGCGCAAGCTCTGGGCAGCTGCAGCAGGAATGGCTGGCAGTGGTGAGGGGAAGGGGCCGCTTTTCTCCCATGTTGAGCAACAGCATGTCCCACACTGCTGCTGCTGAGCCTGGGTGGGCGAGCCCAGAGCAGGTGTGGGACACACAGGGTTGGGACTGTGCAGCATGGTTCCCTACCAGTACTGAGGGGCTGGAGCCAGCAGCAGTGGCAGCTGGAAGGACCCACTTCCACCTGGGCTGCCTAGAAAGGCAGTGCATCTGTGAAGCCCCCCCAGCCCTGCTGTGTGCCCAGGGGGTGGCAGGACGGGTCACGGCTGGACTGTGCCTGGGCCAGGTGGCACCAAGGGACCCGCCACAGGCCGGACAAAGACCTGCTGCAGGCTGGGCTGTATTTTGCCCAGCCCTGGTCTAAAAGGACAGTCCAGGCTGAGAAGAGCTGAAAAGCTGCATTTACACTGTAAGAATCAGACAACTTGTTTCCATTAACATTTTCCTGCTCAAAAACACCAGCTCCGGGACTAGTTACACCAGAATAAATAAGTAAATTAAGAGCCAAGCACAGTCAGTGCAGTGGAGAATCTGATCTAGAGAAGTCTTTGCAACCCACAAAAACATAGCTGGAAACCAAAACCAAATGAAAAGCTGCTTAATGATGCATTTTTCACATACCAGGCTGTAATCACAGAGACACAAAATATCCTGGTACCACTAATTAAACCTCTCTGTATCACTGATGCAGACCAATTGCAGGCCTGGCTTCCTAAAGAACTTCGCATCCAAGTCTTTTACACCCATCTACATTAACAAGGATTCAATAATGCACTGAAATGTACTGGAATAAATGGCTCAGGGAAGAATATGTTGTTCTATGCACTGAGTTTATTGCACCTCCACAGCAAGCCAGCTGGAATCTCACTTGTGCTAAGTGAAGCCCTATGAAGTGCTCTGGCAGGGTGGAACGGGATCAGCTGAGGTATCTAACAGGTGGCATTAAACCTGGCTCAAAGCGTGTTAGGCACTTCAGACAAGCAACAGTAGGTTAAGACTTAACCAGAGTGTTTCCAGTTTAGAAAGACAAAAAACAAAGGGGAAGAGAAGCAGATGCAGAGGAAGCAGTGGTCAGGGATGCTATAACTGTTCATGGGCAAATGGCTCTGGTTAAACAGAGATGGGGAATCTCAGCTAGTGTATTTAAAGCCACTGACTGGTTGGAAAAGGGGAAAAAGGAAAAATATATAAAAGGGTGCTAAAGCAGCAGCAGCATGCGATATGTCTTTGGTCAAAAAAAAATGGTACTTACGTTAGAAATTTGTTCTTCAGCATTCGTTCCAATCTGCCCTTCATTAAAACAAGCAAACCACAATGAGAAACTCCTCTTAATGGCTAGCACAAGGCAGCACAGTAAGAAGCCTGTCCACTGCCGACGCTGACTTTCTGACAAGAGGACTGCCGTTTTTTCTGTCATGTCTGTTACCTTTTGGGCAGGAGCTATGTATTTATAAAAAAACTCGACTTCGTGAGGACATCTGGAAAGCACTGTGCTTGTGGCGGTCTTGAAAAGATCCTCTATAACCTGAGAGAAAAAACAGAACAGCAGGAAAACTGAGGTCACTTATGCATCCCCAGGCTATAAATAAAACATGCTAAATGCAGGCCAAAGGGGTCTTGTTGTTGGACAATCAAAGGAGGACACCAGCTTGTTCCTGCTCTCCACTAATAGGCTTCCCCTCTAAGTGAAGAAGCAGGGGCTGCTCTTAATGAGAGGCTGTGGGTTTGATCCTTGCTGATGATCTGATGTTCTGAAGTCAGATATTTGCAATGAAAGATACGTGTCTAAAAAACTCAAACAGCAGCAAAGGACACCGGTGAACAAAAGTGATTACTGCCAACACCGGCCTGTTCCTGCTTGCCCTGGAATAACCAGTCCTTTTCTGGCATTAGAGATGACAGAATAAAGGAGAAGAGGATAAATCTGTGGGGAACTAAGCCAACCTGATCACCAGGGATCCTGGTTCTCTCTCATAAAAACAATCCCCAATTTTTAGATTAAAAAAAGTAACCCAAAATCCACATTTTTCCGTGATTAAAATGAAACGCCACTAATTATATCTATCTATCTATCTATTAGTGGCATTTCATTTTAATATAGATAAGTATATAGTGGCATCTCATTTTAATCACAGAAAAATGTGCATTTTGGGTTACTTTTTTAATGATGAAATGCCACTAATATATGTATCTATCTTAGATATAGATATATATAGTAGCATTTCATTTTAATCACAGAAAAACAGGTTACTTTTTTAAATCCGAAAATTGGGGATTTTTTTTATCAGAGAAAACCAGGATCCCTGCTGATCATCAACGAGGCTCTGCATTGCAAGAACAAGGGCAAAGGAAGCACACCAGGAATGAGATGGGGCTGGGGCTTTTCTACCCAGGGACACAAGTAAATCCGAACTTTTCAAAGGGGAGGTTTTACATCCATGTGAGGACTCATAGATTCACAGATGTCGGGTCGGAAGGGACCTAAGTAGATCATCAAGTCCGACCCCCTGCTCTGGGCAGGAGAGAATACTGGGCTCATATGACCCCAGCCAGGTAATTGTTAAGCCTCCTCTTAAAGCCCCCCCCCCCCAGGGTAGGAGCCAGCACCACTTCTCTTGGAAGTTGGTTCCAGATCCTAGCTGCCCTGACCGTGAAATAGGATACACTTATTCTGAATAAAAGTGGCCTTCACTTTGAGTTCCTGCTAAATCAAAATTGAGGACACTTTCATTCAGAATAAGTGTGTTCACACAGAGTTTGAATGCAGTCTGACCACTCCACATTTAAAGTGATCTCAGGCTAACATTCCTGGGTGGGTTTGTGTACAAGCGCTGCGGGGACTCGCAAGGTGACCTTCTTGCTGGTCTGCTGAACCCACGGCATATCCATATCAGGATGGTCTCATCGTACTCCCTTCTCTGTCTGCATGCATCTGTTATTCTGGTCTTAAACACAGAACTGAAGCTGAGACACAGAGCAGCTTTTTGTTGCTGGTTTGTACTACACCTGGCACTATGGGGTCTTGATTAGGGCCCCAAGGCACTATAGTAATATGCATAAGGAATCCCAAAAAGTAGAGACAGCACTTAAAGGCCCTATAATAAAACAAAATGACAGTCACTTTGCTGAAGAGCTTACAGCCTGAATGATGGAGGGCAGAAGAAAGGAACCATAATTATTTCTATTGTATAGATAATGAATTGAGGCTGCAGAAGACTCAAGAGTTGTGACACAGTACCAGAGTGTGGGTAAGCCATGAATCTACCAGTTCCTTCCAGATCAGTGGTTACAATCTGCCTAACCCAGAACCTGACAGGCTACATGTGGTGGCTTGTCCTCTGGATAAGGGAGATCCAGTCAGTATAGTACACAGGCAGTCCTTATGACACAACCGGTTCCTGAAAACCTGTCTTCAGTCGAAACGTTGTAACTCAGAACCAATTTTCTCATAAGAAACAGTGTTATAAATGGGGGATTAGTTCCTGAACCCTATTTTCACCAAAAATACCCCAGAATTTTGTACTCCATCAATTATAGATGAGTAATATAGCTACATTAATGTATTTATATTGTATACAGCAATCATACTGATTTGGAAGGACTTCTTTGAGGTGACTTTGCTGCACTTTTTGAAGGGCTCTTGGTTGGACTTTTTGAAGGGTTCTTGGCTGGAGTCTTCACAGGAGTCTTGGCTGCAGGTTTTTCTGGAGTCTGGTCTGCTTTCTTAAAGAAAGTGTCCAAGGAAGTTTGGACAGACTTTCTCCAGGGAGATGGGCGATGCAGCGAACTTGTTTGCTGGCATAGGGTTGCATCAGATCAAATGTTGTAAAGTTGAAACTAATGTCAGAAAGTTGAAAGAGGGCGTCAATGTATAAAGGTTTTAAGTGCAAAACGTTGTAACTCAAAATGTTGCAAGTCAAGGACTGCTTGTGCTTGGATTTTCAAAAAAGCTTTACACAAGGGTCCTCACCAAAGGCTCTTGAGGAAGCGAAGCTACCTTGGGATTAAGGGAGGACAAGCAAAAACTAGAGAAAATCAATATGTGGCTCAGAGAGGAAATACAGAGTAGGACATTTTTTAGGAGAGAAGATCAACAGTAGGGTCCCATGGGGATCTATGCTGGGACCCGTGTTGTTCAACATACTCATAAATGATGTGGAAAAGTGAACAGGCAAGGTCTACAGATGAAATACAGTTATTTATCATGTCTTGTAACACAAAGACTAGGAGGCAGTGTCCAATGAAATGATCAGGCTGCAGCCTGTTCAACTAGTTTCAACTTTACAATGTTTGATCTGATGCAACGCCATGCCAGCGAACAAGTTTGCTGCATTGCCCATCTCCCTGGAGAACATCTGTCCAAACTTCCTTGGACACTTTCTTTAAGAAAGCAGACCTCTCTGTCTAAGGTTTATAACAAACCAAAGGCTGTTTTTGTCTTTTTCGCAGAGCATAAATAACCTGTGCAACTCCCTACCACAGGATATTATGGAGGACAACAGTATAACTGGGTTCAAAAGGAACCCAGCCAAATTTATGGAGAGGCCCACTGGGGGCTGTTAAACACAATGGTTAGGGATGTAACTGTGAGTGTCTGACAGGCTGGAATATTACACATGCCCTGTCTCTTGTACTCTTCATCTAAAGCATCCGCTACTTGATACTGTTAGAGGTAGGATATAGAATGAGGTGGACTGACCCTGAATGGCAGCTTTTATATTCTCATGTTATGCCCACTTCAATTTCCTCACAAACCCTTAACTGGGAGCCAGCTCAGCTAAAGTCTATTACGGGTAAAAACACTGGGTTGATGATGTAGCACAGACTATGATACTACTGCATGTGGATACAAAGCATTATTGTAATGAGTACACAAATATCGAGCACATTAAAAGCCTGGGTTTCTTCCTGTAGGACAGTGACTCTCAACTGGATGCTTTGCGATCCTTTCAAGGGTGATGTGATGCAGGGTGCCACAAAATGTCAGCACTGTTAGGTTTACAAACGTGATTCACAAAATAAACTGAAAGATTTCAAACAAATTCATGGTTGTGGCCTTCCTGAGCCCTCTGAAGCAGAAAGAAACTGCTCTATTCTTTTTCCAGGCTAAAAAAAAAAAAAAAGAGTGGAAATGGAAAGCTAGCATTTTCCAAGGGGCACCTCAAACCTACCCAGCGGTACCACAAGTCAAAAAAGGTAGAAAACCATGGCTGTACAACCAATTCAGCAATGAGTAACCAAACAGCTGGCTTCGAACCGGCTTCAAAATAGCTAGGAAAAGACTTATACAGATTAAATTAGAAAAGTTCCCAGCAGCTTATTTAGTTTTACTCAAGCAGAGATGAAAGGGTTTTTCAGTAAACTTCATCTTTCTAGAAAATGAAAGTATTGGCTGGTTTTAGAAAATTATGTCTTTTGTTTAATTAGCACTAATTTTTGTTTTGCTTTGTGATACAGTAACAATTAGGATCCCACAGCATTCAACACAAGTAGCTTCCCCTCGTGGAAAAAAAGTGGGTGGTATAGGAAAAATAAACTGAGAAATATTTCCAGGTTCAAGGCCAAGGTTTTATTCTTTGCAATACTGAAAGAAATGTGGTTCATTTTGTGGTCTCCTCTTAATGGTAGAGGCATATAATGTCAAAAGTTTGCTACGTACTTTAAGGCAAAAGTCAAAGATCGCAATCTTGGCCCCAAAGAGGTTACAGGGGTAAATAGGCCACACAGTGGAAGGCTGGAAAACAGGATTAATCAAAAGTGAGCGGAGAAGCATAGCTAATATTACACGTTCCAGAGTTTAGCAGTCCTCCTAGAAGATGACTTGCAGAGAGGGAAAAAAAATGGGCCTGGTCCCTATTTTTGTTTCTTAATCTTAAGTCCAAAAGCTGTGTGGTTTGGGGGGAGGGGTGGGGACTTTCCCTTCTCTCTCATACATCATTTTTTTCACCCGCTTCTTTCTTTTGAAACTACAAAACATCACCGACAAAGACTGAACATCAGCCCAAAGAACAGCAGCTTGGCTGAGCTTGGCTTTCCCGAGTTTTCTGCAGAACTTCTCGGAGGTTTCCAATAGGGATTCTCTGCTCAGAGCTTCGCTGGGCACGCCTACACGAGACATTTATGGTGCAGTTGACTTAATTAACTGGACAGGAAACATCTGGATGCCTACACGTGCACCCTTATTAGGGCGCACAAAACTACTGAACTCCACAGCAGGGTAGTCTTGTAAAATGCTACAAGTACTACCCTGCTGCAGAGCTTTTTCATGTGCAGCAGTGTACATCTTGGTGCTTCAGTGCAGGGCTAGCAGGCAGCCCTGGTGCTGAAGCATAATCATGCCTCAGCCAGCCCTATCACTGAACATGGAGCCCTGTCCAAGCAGCCTTGTGCTGACAGGCTGACCCCCTGGGTCCCCTGCCAGGCTGGGCTGCTCCAAATGGGCTCCATGTGCTGTGCACAAAAAAGCCCCCAAAACAAAACTTCCTTTTCGTTCTAAAAGTGTGCCGGGGAGCAGAAAAACCAAATGTCCTGGATTTCCATATGGTCAGCCTAGCTCTTGAGGAGTGAGTGGCAAAAAGACAGTACCCCACTACCCTAACAGAGGGCAAGCTTCTGTGCGTCAGGCATTTTCCCGGATCTGATATTTCAATCCCCTTTGTGTGTGTACGTACGTATGCGCGCACGCACACACACACACACTTTCTCTCTCTCTCTAAGGCCTATGCATGACTATTCACAAACCTTCCTCTCCAGTGCATAAAGCCATAATTTTGAGAATTAGATTCCTAGAGAAAAGAGCTAGGCTCATTGCTGCATAGCATAACAAAACATTACATTCACAGTCCTGCATTAATATGTCGCAGATATACAATGTAATTCAGAACTGTCATGCAAAAACACCACCGGGGAAACTGAATTTGGTGTCCAAGTGAAGTTCAACATCTCAACACATCTGTACTGAAAATACGTGCTACTGCAAGGAACATCTGGTGAGAGACATCCTCTATGCAGTTTTTCACAGTGTTGAGAGCAACCTAGGTTTCAATTCCACCCCACAAAATTATATTAAAAGACCAGTTAGATTGCAAAGCCAAGCATTTTAAAATTAGGAAATACCAAAATGAGGTATAACACAGCAATCACGATTTGCCTCTGTGTAGATATGCACTATGATAGTCTTTGAGGATATCATCATACACTAGTTTGAAGAACTGGACTGCTGCCTCACTTATGGACCTGCTCTGTGGGTGCAACAAGACTGTTCAGAGATGGAGTCTCCTGTCTGTAGATACCATCTTATTCATTGCAGGGGATGGAAGGGCAATGTTGACTGAAGTGGGACAGGACGAAGAGAAAGAAGAGCACCTGTTAAGGCAGAATGGCACTGCCTAAAGAACAAGATTCTTGCCAAAGAGTTCCTGGGAGATGCTGGGCAAATCACTTACACTGAACTTCTCACCAGGCTTCACTAATTGCATGTTCTGCACTTTCTGATGTCCGGGGCTCTGATTTGCAGAAGTACTGAGCGCTTATGACTGCAACGAAGTCAGCAGGATATGTACTTTGAAGATTTGAAGCACTATGTAATGATAAGTCCTCGGAAAACTCCTAGATACTTCAAACTAGGTGGCCTTTTGGTTTATTTGTGCCTCAGTTTCCCATCTGTAAAAGAGAACTATGCTCTTAATAATGTTCTATAATACCACTGAGATGTTGCGAGAATCAATTTATGCTGGTGAAGCACTCAGAAACTGCAACAAAAAACCCACACAAAAAGCCTAGGAGGAAATGAATGATTCCGCCTTCTGAGCAGGATTTGAGTCGTGTGCGGTAAATAAAACCCAGCCCTACATTCTGGCTAACAAGTAAAGCAAAATATTGAGCAGCCGCTCATTAAGCAAGTCCCTTCTATCCTATGCACTGAATGAGGCAGGGGTCCTTTGAATAAAACATAGCCATATCTTCATATAATTAAAGATGGTATCATGATGTGTATACACAAGGGTGCTGAACGATGGTTAAACAGGCAGTCTTAACTCAGCCATAATAATATTCTTTTAATGCAGGAGTTCTTTGTATGTGGTATCCTGCACTTTTTAAGAAGCAAACTTAATAAAATAGAGATTGTATCAAGAGGCATCAGACAGGTCATTCACAGGGCTGAAGCACCACACAAGCTAGTGGTATAACTGGTAGTCCCAGTTTGTGTTCTGCCCACCTCCAGTGCTGGTACAGAGAGGATGGACACTTTGACAGAGGGACCACAGATATCTGCTGCTGGATGATGGATGGTGAAACTTGGGGGTACTGAGTTCCAGTCCAGGAAGGAGAGAGGAAGATGTCCTTATCATAGAATATTAGGGTTGGAAGGGACCTCAGGAGGTCATCTAGTCCAACCACCCCGCTCAAAGCAGGACCATCTCAAACCATATCACCCAGCGAAGGCTTTGGCTAGGTGGGTCTTAAAAACCTCCAAGGATGAAGATTCACCACCTCTCTGGGTAACCTGTTCCAGTGCTTCACCACTCTCCTAGTGAGAGAGCTTTTCTTAACATCTAACCTCAACTTCTCTTGCTGCAACTTGAGACCACTGCTCCTTGTCCTGTCATCTGCCACCACTGAGAACAGTCCAGCTCCATCCTCTTTGCAACCCTCCTTCAGGGAGTTGAAGGCTACTGTTAAATCCCCCCTAGTCTTCTCTTCTCCAGACTAAATAAGACCAGTTTCCTCAGCTTCTCCCATACATCATGTGCCCCAGCCCCATCACCATTTTCATTGCCCTCTGCTGGCCACTCCAATTTGTCCTTATGGTCACTGTCTGCACATTTTCTGCCCGTCATGCTCCATCCATTCTACCCCTTTCCACTTCCATTTGCCTCACATAGCTAAGTCCCAATCTCTTCAGATTTCTCATCTACAGTCCTGCTCTCTTTCCTCACCCAATCCCAATCTCCTCCCCAACCAGTTCCTTAATCCACATAGTCCCAGCCTCCCTCCTCCAGTTCCTCATCTGATGTCAGTGCCCTTCCATTCCAGCCAGTCCCAGGCTCCATACCACAACCCCCAGGATTTTAACAGGAATGGCAACCACCCACTCTTGACATAAAGGCTCTATCCCTGCCAAATTTCAAGTCCCTGCTCCAAAGTATGAGAAAGAAGGATTCAAAGGAAAGGCGAGACCAAAACCTCCATACATTCCTTTTCCATGTTCTCAGAAACAACTGAGTCATTTGGGCTGAATCAGCAAAAAAGTTACAAGCAGCGGGAAGCTGCCTCTTATAATGGCAAGCGTTGGGCAATCTTAACACTAGACAATGACGCTACCAGCCCTTCGTAACATATTCCATTAATACCAGTAAGCGCTCTCTTAAAGAACCAAACATATTTGCTTCTAGAGAAAGTCGTTAAAAGGACCATGTTCCTTGCAATACAGTCACATACAGAGTCTATCTGGTGGTGTTGATACTGATTGTGTGTCAGGATTTGAGCCTGGGGTTGCCAGTCTCCAGGGTTTTTCAATGGGGTGCTCCTCAATGAGTGATGACCACCTGGATGACAATAATTAACAGATTGCCCTGCAAACAGAGATGTGATGGAGAGAGGGCATTTATGTCAATTATACAGAGAAGGCGAAACTTAACTGAGGCTTCAGAGAAGCTGTCAATTTTTTAATGGATTGCCCAATGATTTAAAGAAAAAGGAAAACGGAACTCTACTTCTTTAAAGACACAAATCACAAGAACGAAGGGTGTTGCAATCAAGATGCGATCTGTAGAACGCAGGGCTGCGATCGCAAAGAGAAGCTCTCTTAATAGTTAAGGATGGTGGCTGGAGACAGCCAGGGAGGGGAGGCCCCAGAGAAACTGGGATTTCACAAGACATTTGACAACCACAACCATTCTCAAAGCCCAGGAAAAAAGCGCTCTCCTCTCTATGCAGCACATTAGATCAGCTCATCTCTCACATGCCTCTCCAATGGCCATTCGTCTGATCAAAGATGCTTAACTGAAACCCACTGGGAGCCCATCCAACCAACTCCTGATTTATAACTGCAGGGTGCTGGGTAGTAAGGTAGTTGGGGGTGCATGTGAAGAGGGTGGAAGGGCAGGGGGCACAGTGGAGGAGACAGCCCCAAGAGTTCAGAGTTCGCATCTACCTGCATGATGTCCTGAAGGCTTTCTGTGAACGACACCTCAGCTTCAACCATGTAAAACTCTGCCAGGTGCCTGCGACTCTGTGAATTCTCAGCTCGAAACGTTGGCCCAAAGGTGAACACCTGGGTGAATGCCCTGGAAGGCAAAAAGGATCAAGACATGTTGTCAAAACAGAGTAAAACAAGAGATCGGTTTAGACGTGGAAACAGGATCATGCTCATCAAGCTCCACCTCTGATCCCATCTTTCTCCCGCCATCCCAGAACAGGTGCATGTTTCTGCCAACTGCATTAATAAATGTTGTTTATGCTGTTGTCGTTCTGCTTCAGGGTTGAATGCTCACAGGTGTGCGAGGTTGCTTGCCCCTCTCTGCTATTGATTCAGTCTGCCTGCAGTCTCACATGGGCAGCAGGTGGCTTTCATCACTGTTCCTAGCCATTTCCTGTGCAAATGGAAGCAAAAATTCAGTAGAAACGGCTCACCACATCACACAGCTGGGTATACACCAGATGTCAAAGTCACCCTACTATGCTACCACATCACAGGAGTCTGCTTTTCAGTGAATTTAATTGCTCGAGTGATACAAATGCCTCAAGCCCTTGGAAGCTGGCATACCAAGGGCTCCCTGCTACAGCTGACTGATGTTTCTGCAATAGTAAGGGGCTGGTAAAATCCTCCCTGTGTAGGTGTAACCCTCCTTTACATGATGTAGCTGTTTGTCTACCTTTAGAGGCTGGACCACATAAGACTGCAGCAGCCTTTGAGAGAAGAGCCCTGGCAACAGAGGCAACTGCTTTTAGATCCAAATGTCCCACATTCAATTCCCATTGCAGACAATGCACTGAGATTGTCGGAGATGTGGCCAAGGAGCACCCTATAATTATTTAGGCTATTTCTTCAATAGCTTTCCATGGAACCTGATTAATATATTCTCCCTCTCCACAGGTGTTCAAAGCTACATGCCTTAGCACTTAATCTAAGAGCCTTCCCATCTTTCTCTGCAGACATCCATCCTACCAGAAGGCAGTGCCTTACAGTGTTTTTGATGGGACGGTCACACTCACAGCAACAAGTCATGCACAGTGACCTCAGAACGGCCACGTGCAGTGGGGCCCTAGTACCTGAGCAACATCCAAAAACACAGGCCAACTGCTTGCTCGCCTTGTCTCCCACATGAGTGCAGCAGAGCAGAGCCATGACTGCGGACAGAGGAAGGCTCTCCTACAGGCAGCCTGGACCGAGATTAACTGAGCTCTCCCCATCCTCTTTAATCTTCCTTTATCTATAGTGGTGGGCCTTGGATAGGAAAACATGAACTCTTCCAAATCATAGAAAATTAGGGTTGGAAGGGACCTCAGGAGGTCATCTAATCCAACTCCCTGCTTATAGGACTGTCCCCATCTATATTATCCCACCCAAGGCTTCAAAACCTCCATGGATGGAAACCTAGCCACGTATTAAAAACCTCCAAGGATGGAGTGAGCTGATTGTCAGAGGACCTGTGCATGTAACTAAGTTTTGCTCAGCAGGGGCTGAAATGAAACAGGATGTCCAGCTTCCACATCCAAAGTTTCTGTTCATGGTGTTTCTAGTAAACAGAAACTTAAAATAAAGCTATAACCATTAAGATTGGTCAAAAGAAAATTTGGGGGGGTGGGGTGGGTCACAGGGCTGAAAATAAAGGAACATGGATGTTATTCCTCGGGGTCCCTTCCTTCCGTCCTTCAAACTGTTAGAGGTAATGAACAGTTACAGTTTAAGGAGACAGCAATTTTGGATTTGCCTACAATTATCAGGGTAAGACGAACATGAAAGGTTTGTTTCCTAGATCGCTGCTTTGGAGCCCTTCTCCAGCTCCTCTTTTCCCACTGCAACATGCAAACTACTTTATCTTCACTTTCAAAGCCTGGCCTGGCCCATTCCTGATCCTACTCATCTGTCATCCAGGATCAAGATGTAGACTCCCACCTCCATTTGGCCCAGTGCTAGCCTCCATTGGAAAAGTCTCACCACACACCTATGGTCTTTTGTCCATCCTACCTCGCCAGCCAGGGAGAAGTTCCTTTAGAAATGTCCCTAGAGTCGCTCGCTGTTGTCCTCAAATTCTTTGCCGTGACGCCTACAAAAAATGGCCATGTTCAGGCAGCCAGTGTACCACAACTATCACCCCTCCGCCAGACCAGTCTTGTTCCATTATTTCTGTGCATGCCCCCATTCATTTGTCAATGCCCTTCTGTTACTGTGTGTGAAACTGGCATTTTTAAGCCTTTGTGACCGAAACTGTGCTTTTTCGTTCTTTTGACATGTCTGTACAGCACCTAACACACTAAGGTCCTGGATTCAAGACAAATGCCACAGTGCCATAGGAAATCAAACAGCAGCAGAGCTATAGGTGCGCACAACAATCTTGAATAAACTGTGCTTTCACTGTCTCTCTGAAACATGCACACACATTTTTATTCCCCTGCTCACAGGGGCAGTTAAGTCAAGGGACATGGTCATGATGGGTGACCTAAACTACCCAGACATCTGCTGGGAAGAGCTGTCAGCCAGATCCGACCACTCATGTAGGTTCCTTGCTGAGATACAATACCTCCACCTAACCCAGGAGGTGCACAGTCCCACCATGGGAAATGCCTTGTTGGAGCTGGTCCTGGCCACAGGCCACGACCTGGTGAGGGGACTGCACGTGCTCGACCACCTGGGTGGTAGTGACCATTGCCTACTTAAATTTACCATCCAGTGCAGGGTGGCAAAGGCCTGCAGCCCTGGACTTCAGGAGGGAGGATTTCAATGAGGTAAGGAGACTAGTCAGGGAGGCACTGAGGTCCCGGAGGGGAGGGGAGTTGGGAGTCCAAGAAGAGTGGTCATTCTTTAAGGAGACGATCCTCCAAGCTCAAAGCGTGACAATCCCCACGCGGATCAAAGGGGGCAGGAGTGCTCAAGAGCCCCTAGGGCTTACCAAAAGCATCCATGAATGCCTCAAAGCCAAAAAGGAGGCATACACCCGATGGAAGGGAGGGGCCCTCACCAAGGAGGATTATACCTCCATTGCCCAAAATTGTAAGGGGGCAGTCAGGAAGGCCAAGGCAGAAATGGGACTGGGACTAGCAACCTGGATCAAAGATAACAAGAAGTCCTTTTTTAAATACATAGGGGGTAAAAAAAAGGTGCCAAATAATGTGGGGCCTCTGCAGGACATGCCTTGTAATCTGGTGGTCACTAGGGGAACTATAGGCCAGTTAGTCTTACCTCAATCCTGGGTACGCTTTTTGAGAGAATTACCCTGGCGCATGTCCATGAGGGGCC